AATAAATAAAATATCATTAATATGACAGTTAAAGTGGGCAAACTCTAGCAAAAATAACATGCTATTAATGCTATCCCTATTATAATAAACAAAAAATTAAAAATAAAAACTTAAAATTGTCAATAAAAAACTCACCAGAACAATGATAATCAATATAATGCAAATTTAAGGATCATCCCAAACTATAAAAAAGATAAAAATGATTTTATAATTTTTGTTCCTATATTTTCACCTCATTTGAACTGCTTGTTTTTGAAATACATGTAGTTAAGCATCCTTGTTCAAATTGTCTAAAAAATAAAATAATTAATCATTCGGTGGTTATATGACAACTTAACATGTAGTTAAGCATAAGACATCAATATGCATCAGAGAAAATTATAAAAATGTGGAATTCTCCCATAGCAGTTTTTGATTAATTTGGGCCAATGATTATGTACAAGGTTTGTTGCCCAAGTTTTGAGCAAACTTTAAAATTTCATAACAAATTAAAATTTGCTCAAAATTAGCTTACACTTTTTTACACAGCATAAAAATACATATATGCATAATGTATCTGAAAAAAATTTTTAAATGGAAATTTCTTTCCTAGCTGTTTTTGAGGACATTGTTGCTTAATTTTTTTACAACTTTACAAGTTTGTAAAAAAATTTAAATTTGCTTGGAATTAGTTCAAACTTTCTAAACAACATTAAAACATGAATGTGTTCAAAAAAAATTTTTTTTAATGAATCATTCTGTCAAAACCATTTTTGACAAACACCCTGTGCTATAACCCATGGTATCATATATCTGGTAATTTTCGTCTGTATTTAATTTTCAGATGCATGGCTTTGTGTGAAATTAAAATGCATGAAAATTTCATTCATGCCTAAATTATTGTATGCAAAATTTTGTGTGGATACCACGTGCACTATCAAGGCACGTGGCAATATCATCATAAAATGGTGCCGCTTTGTTCTTTCTCCTATGGCAGTTAGAAGACTATCAAATAAGTATGGTAGCTTCTCAAACAAAAGTGCTCTGTAGGATCCTTCATAAAATAATTAAAATTTCTTATGTTAATAATTTTCGGACAGGAACCACTGTGCATAAATAAAATACACAAATAATTTGTCTGAAAATTTTCTCCTATGAAAATGACTTGATATACATGTACAGTATTTTGCATGATTTAAAAAATTCAATTTTGAACAAAATCAGCTCAAACTTTTTGCACAACATGAGTACATGTATATGCACAATGTATACATATGAAAAATTTATAAAAATGAAGAATTCTTGCATATGATTTTAGTTGAAATACCCTTATATTACCATGCACAAAAATATGCATGACATGCTAATCATTGTACTGTATTTCTGTTTAGGACAATGGATTATTCTATCTATTAGTGGTCAGTGTTGTCCTCCTACCAGTAACTTTGCTATTCAAAAGATTACTAATAATAAAGGTATCATGTTTGGTGGAACAGTGACTATAGTGAAAATGGTAGAAGCATATCTGTTAATACAGTTTATACATGTCAACTGCAGTCTGGCACTACTATAGTAAGTTATACAAAAGTAAATCATTAAGGGGTGAGTCTATGCTACAAAAAACAATACTGTAGTACATGTGGCTTAAGCTACTGAAAGCTACTTAAATTTTGGAAGCTATTTCATTTTTTTGGATTTTGCCAAAAATCTTCCTTAGTACTTTACTTAATATGTAATAGCATGAAGCATTAATAAGAAGGAGTCTATAGATGGCATTTCTGCCCCATGTGACTACTATAATTTCATTGCAAAGAATACAATATTTTATCATCAATTGATGCTTAAAGTATAATGTTAAATAAAAATATTATAGTCAAATACATGTACAAATATGACCTAATTTTACTAAGCTTACTCATGCAGGCTCTCTCTATTTCTTTAGAATTTTAAAAATAATGCATTTGAAATTTTTTATTACACTGAGCATTAGATTTGTCCATTTAAAAGCTATACAGTTGCCATATCAATTACATTTTTATTGTGAGTATAATACTATTTCATAAATCATATTGCATCAGGATTGCATTGATTAATACTATTTTATAATGTATTGAATAATTCTTTTATCTAGCACTGGGAGAGTGTTAAGGAACCAGTAGTACCTGCTAGTGTACAGTGGCCTGTGGAGAGATGTTATCATGCTATTTCTAGTATCATCAGGTGACTCACCTACACTAGTATTGATAGGTGGAGAGTGTAAAGATGGACTAGTAAATGATAGTTGGTTACTGAATACTAGTCAGTACCAGTGGAGTAAAGTATGTGTATGTTATTAGTTTACAGTGTACATGTGTGTGATACAGTGATTGTACGGTAGTTGTCATGTTAATGTTGTGTATGTACAGCTATATTTGCACAATTGTTCTTATGAACCTATTATTACTACTAGATACATATGCACATATTAGTGCTGTTTAGTTGTCAGATTTTTACTATCTTATTATTCAACAGATTGTTCTACCTGAATCTGTTACTGGTAGACAGCTTCATTCCTTATCATCAATAATGATGAGTCCAGACTGTGTGTGGTTGGTGGTAGTGGGTGGATATGGAACGGTTGAATGGGAAAATGTAGGAAGAGAATATAAGCTACCATTTTCTAAACGAATTACTGATCCTATTATCACAATGTTATTGGAACTAGGTAATAACCAAAATGTATTTTGTATTGTATGTACTGTATGGATGGAAAAGAATGGTAGGTAATCGAAAACTATGAATCATATCGAATGTCATTTATTTTTTATTATGTACAATATTGCACATGTCTTTGTACATGTACATGTGCATGTAGCTCCTGACTCATGCTCATTTCTTACTATTCATAAAATGCTATTGCATGCAACATAGTGTCATAACATGCTTTAAATCTCTTAGAGTGTATTTTAGAGTAAACTACATGTACATTATTATACTAGCTGTGTTTACAGATTATGTACATGATCTTTCTTTAGTTTTAAGAGAAGGTCAATGGAGAGCAAGTGAAGTACTAGATTCTACTGGTCTGACTACTGAGGCCTATCAACACAAGTATCAGTTATTATTAAAGAACAGAAAATGGTGGCAAGATCAGTTGATAGTATACCCTGCAAACAGAGAAATAAAACTGCAAAATTATGTCCAATCATTGCAGCAGGAGTTAAGAGTATCTGAGGGAAACAAGATCTCACTGCAGGAAGCACTCCTTGAGGCTAGTCAGCAAGGTATAGTCCTCTACTGTGTGTGTGTTGTGTGTCAGACTGTTAGTAGTTATTGAATTTACATACATTGTATACTTGTACTTGTATACCGCTCTAGGAAAGACAACAGCAGAACCAGTAAAAGAAACTAAACGAACAATCAGTCATGGTATAATCCTTACGTTATGCTATTATACATTTATTTTGTGTAGAAGAGATTGATAAACTTAAAGCTAATGTAATAATGCTTACTGAAGAGAAACTGCAATTACAGGACAAATTGGAAATATCAACTAGTGGTAAGAGTATTGTTGTGTATATTGATACACAACTTGTATTGTTTAATTTC